TAAAACTACAAAATAGCTGGGGCGTGGCGGTGGGCCCACCTTTACAGTCCAAGCTCTTAGGGAGGCTGAGGCAGGAATGCTTGAGCTCGGGAGGGGAAGTTTGCAGTGAGCTGAGATCGCATTACTGCACTCCAGGCTGGGCAACAGAGCGAGACTCCGTTTCAAAAAAAAAAAGAACAAGAAAAAGGCCTCTTGGGTCAGGTTGAGAGGCTTAGTCTTCATCCTAAAAGTAAGAGGAACTCACTGACAGGGTTCTAAGGGGACGAGGAATGCTGACATGATCAGATTTAAATTTTAAGCAGATGACAGTGGCCTCCATAGGGAGAACTATGGGAGGGTGGGAACAGTCATGGCACACAGGGCTGCCTAAGGAGTAAAGATAACTTGGGGGAGGTGGCCAATAAGGTGCCCATCCCAGCTGCTGTTATTATTCCCTCTGAGCTCCCACCACCTTCACCACGGGTCTAACTCAGTGCCTCAGACATAGTAGTAACTCAATAAACAGTTGCTAATAGGTTCAAAGTTCAGAGCTTCGGATTTTTTTTCAGACAGAATCTTGCTCTGTGACCCAGGCTGGAGTACAGTGGTGCAGTCTTGGCTCACTGCAACCTCCACCTCTTGGGTTCAAGCGATTCTCCTGCCTCAGCCTCCTAAGTAAGCTGTGATTACAGGCACCCGCCACCATGCCCAGCTAATTTTTGTGTTTTTAGTAGAGATGGGGTTTCCCACGTTGGCCAGGCTGGTCTCGAACTCCTGACCTCAGGCGATCTGCTTGCCTCGGCCTCCCAAAGTGCTGGGATTACAGGCGTGAGTCACCGTGCCCGGCCCAAGCTTTGTTTTTTTAAATCTTGCCTCCCACAATGCAGAAAGCCTTAGTTTCAGATAACAGCATGGGGAAGAAAGAAAATTTGGGAGGAAGAAAATTTGAATAACAACAATATTGATGTTGGCAAGGATGTGAAGAAAAGGGAACTCTTTTTTTTTTTTTTTTTGACTCAGCTCACCACAACCTCTTCCAACCATCGCAGGGTTCAAGGGACTCCTCCTGCCTCAGCCTCCTGAGTAGCTGGG